CAATTAATTACTACTCATTAAATATAGTATAATTATTAAACTTATTTTAACCCCATTTTTTTGAGCCATTATAAAAAATGCAATTATTTTTAAATTTTTAAATACCAAAAAATTAATATTATTATTTTTAAAAAATTTAAAAAATTAATATTATTTGTAGATTTTTACTTAGGTTAGTTTTTTAAACTTTGAATTCAAAAAATAAAAAATAAAAAATAAAAAACTCACGGATTGCCCGGCGAGGCCCATTAACCTGCATGAGGCGGACTATGGTTACATGAACCATAGCCCGCGGACTTGGTGAGCCAACTCGCAAAAGCCCATCAAAAATTAGGCTTGAAATTTTTTGCATGTGCATCCATTGAAAAATGACTTCTCCCAACAAAAAGGAAGTCATTTTCCCCTAAAATATACATATTTTCCTTTTGACTAATGCATCATTTTTCATTGACCTTATTTTCCCCCTTTTGTCAAACACTTGAAACCCGAAAAACATTTTTCAGAAGTCATTTTTCGGATTTCTAAACACACCTTTAATTTGTAGTAGAATTCATACATGAGACATGCTTAATTAAAAAAATTACTTTGAGCAGCTTTAACATTTTGAAACAATAAATTATTTAAAAAGCTAATTAATCAAACACTTATAGTGATCAAATAAGTCAAAATTAGCTGATATGCTAACTAGTTTAACAAAGAGGGCCTTTATTGTTTAGATGTGAATATTGATACAATATGAAAAAAAAAAAATTAAAAAAAAGTAGCTACAGTACATTAATGCATGCATGGCTGGTGAGACATATCTTCAACTCCTACCAGTCTACCACTGTCCACTGCTTTTAACATACCACTGCGACGGCCCGGGAAGAACTGGAATGGAGAAGTATGTATCCACCGCCGCCATTACTTCTTTCTCATCCGCCGTTGGTGAACCACGGCCGCCGCCGCCGCAACACACCAATTTCCGCAATAATGCTTTACCCACCACCGGCAAACCCCGCCGGCGGCGGCAGATGATCTCCTTCTCCTTGCACTGACCACCTTGGACTGCAACTTCTTGATGATCTTTCTCCTGTCTCTTCTTCATCTCCATCTCTCCCCAGATCCTACAATACTATAAAATTTCTCTGATCCCACTGTAATATTTATCGAATTGTGTATAATTGCTTTATTGTGTTTGTGTGGTAGAGTGGTATTTATTGGGTAGCTAGGGGAGTGTTTGGATTGGAGATTGATCCAGATGTGCTTTTATAGCGAGTTGCAAGGGCCAGTTCATGGAAAATTGATTGTTGGTTTTATGACTATCATAATCGAGGACATGCCAACATGTACAGTTATTCAGTAATTTAAGGGATTGTGAAATATCAGTGTATCTATGAGCAAACAAAGTTGTGAAAATGTTATGTACTAGTCATTTTCATGGTATTTTTATACATATATAGACATGTTACGTACTAGTCATTTTCATGGTATTTTTATACATAGGGTGAGTCTCATGTAAAGGTGGTCTCCGGTGGTGGGTAAAGCATTATATCATGCGAGGTTTGCCGGTGGTGTCGGTTTGCCGCAAAAGAGTGAAAGTAGCTGGAACGGGAACCCAACACCGGTTGTGTCGGGTAGGCTATTTTATTTTGGATTCTATTTTTATTGTGCCGGGCACTTAGATTTTTAATTTATTTATCGTTCGGGTTTGCGTAATTGCTTTATGATCTTGCTTATTGGCTTTACATCTTGGGCGCTTATGCTTGGTCTTCGGACCATTGTCCTTGTCCCGACTTTTTCGAGTCGTTGGTTTCAGGGATCAACGTTCAAGCGTTCACGTAAACAAATTCGGTCCTTGGACCACTGTTTTTGTCATGCCCTTTCGAGCCGTTAGCTAGGTAATCGCGAACGGGGATAACTCTGTCCCGTCGGTCCGGAGACCAAATTTATTCCAATCTTTTGATCGTGAATGGGGATAACTTTGCCCCGTCGGTCCGGAGACAACCATTATATTCACCTTCTGGTTGTGAAGCGGGGATAACTTTGTCATGCCGATCTGGAGACCACCATTATATCGAACTTCTGGTCGTGAAACGGGAGTAACTTTGTCCCGCTAGTCCGAAGACCATCTTTATATCGACCTGGTCTTGAACGTGGATAACATAGGGTGAGTCTCATGTAAAGGTGGTCTCTAAAACGACGCTCAGATCCCAAGGCGATCAGGCGCTCGACACGCGTGCAGCTAGACCCCTCGACGACGATCCGCATCCGTGTTTATGCGCCCGCGCTGTACCAGATCTGCACTGATAGGAGGTGCCTCAAGAGGTAGCCCGAACCCTTTCTCCCGAGCCATCGTCGGGCTCCGGGCTAGGGGGACTACATGATAGGGATTATTCCCCGACCGTAGGTCCTGTGGTCGGTCATGGGCCCTAAACGCCTAAAGTGTATGACCCGCCTCGACCCTACCCTACCGTATGCCATAGCCTTCCGACCGAAGCTATCACCCGACCTACTTGGTGGACACGCTCACATGTCTCCCCAAGGCTGTTATGTTACGTTCTCCAACCTCCTTAGGTCGGGATGAGCGGGTGGGCGTCGGAGCATCAGTCTCATCCCATTAGAGATATGCCGACACGTGCTCGCAGCCCCTTTGGTCCAGGCCTAACCTTGTGCACGAACACCACGTGCCCTTCATGCCGAAGGGCCGGGGGCTGTCCCTTTTTCATCCCTATAAATACCTCATTTACTGCTGATGGGGGACTTTTGTGAGGAAAAATGTGATAAAATTTGAATATGAAATTTATTTATAAATATTGACGTACCCCGGCCTATTGTTATTAGTTAATTTAAGGAAGAGTTTTTTTTTGTTACATAAGCCAAGCACCTTGTGCTCGGATGACATATAGTGACCTCTTAGGTTGAGAAAGTATGTTTGAACAGATACTACAATGTAATATTTTCAATTTTTTAAAAACCAAAACGACGTCGTTTTGGGTCGAGTGGGGCGCACAATGCCGCGATATAATGATTCGTGGTAGAGAGAGTTTATACTAAGAGGCCGGCTAGGGCCGTTTTCATTGTCATAGGGTGGCTAGCTGTTGCTGCTTGGCACATGGCACTAACAGTTTTGTGATGGCAACTTCAATTCACAAATACTTCAAATAAAATTATAAAAGTTGTGACAACTTTAATCTCATTGTCAGGTAAAATAAGATGTCAAAACTTGAACTCTTTGGAAATAAACATTTACACAAGGCCATAGGCCACAAACATATGCATCAAATTCGGAGCAAATATATATTCATCGTTGCTATCTCTCAAAATTGCATCACAATGAGTGATTGAGTGAGTAGAACCGTGATTCTTGTACCAGAGTTCTATTCTTGCCGACACACTTTCAATGGAACCCATTGGACATTTTCTTCCTAGTGTAGGTGGTTTACCTCTTCTATGTAAATTATGGGTCATTCACAAGAATAAGGTTTATCTAATGCATACCATCAGATAATGATTATGAATTTTTCTCGTCATTAAAAAAAAAAACGTTATATTGTAACCACTAAATAAATTAAACCTAACTTGAGATGACATGACTTTATAATTGAGTGACTATTTAATAGGGAGACCACTTAATTTAAATAATTGACTCACTATATATCTAATCAAGAGATCACTTAATTAAATAATCCATTAATATTTCCCACACATGAAGGACTCCTATACTTTTCCAATACTTTTCCAAAATGAAAAGATGAAAAGTGTTTTCATGTCTAAAAAGTTTGAAGTAATGGCGGTGGGAGATGAGTCAATTTAGTTTCTATTTATGAAGCGAGCATAGTATGCCCTTTGGACCCCCTGAAAGAAATTGATGGATAGATGATTCTAACTTAATGAATGTGACTTTTATCTTCTGTCCAAGGTAGTATCACCATGGAAAATTTTCCATCTCACATTTTTGGTACCTCTTTAACCATTGTTGTATGTAGTAGTTTTATGCTTAAAAAAGGTACATGTTTTGAATGCCTAAGTATTCATTTGGATAACAAAATAAGTCCAATGAATGAATATAATTTTATTGGGTGTAGGCCAGAGTTTTCACCATCGAACACAATGACTAATTCTCTGGCTGAATTCTAGACATTTCTATTAGGTGGGACAGCTGTCATGGAGATTTAAGGTTGCTCCATATTCAAAGCCAAGGATCAAACCTTTGACCTTTGGTTAAAGATCGATGTCACTCCTCCAGGTTAGATAACTGAATATAATGCAGGAGCAAATATAATTGTATTGCCTGGTGGGAAGCGATTGAAAGTAAAAAGTCCAATAGACTACTCAAATCGCAGAGAATAATTAAACTTCAAATCTGATAGTTACCAAACAAACTATCCAACCATGGTTGGATGTTTTGTGGTTACTCCCATATTTCCTCTCCTGTCTTTTCTTCATGGTTGCAGTAGGCGCTGGGCGCTAGTCGGGCGCCCGGGCAGCGCCTAGCGCCTAAGCGCACTAGTCGGCGCCTAGGCGGAATCTAGGCGGCGCTAGGCGGTCGCGAAAAAAACAGTAGCAGACTTGCAATTTGACAATTTTAATGAGGCTGTTTTCAACATTCAATCAAATAACACATCCAAATAAATGACATAATGACAATTCATAAGTCATAACATCAAAAGAATATTAAAAAAAAAAAAAAAACTCAAATGAAATACTCAAATACTTCAATCATCCAAAGATTGAAAGTATCAAACTAGTCTACGAGTGTATATATGTCATATTATATGTATATGTCATATAAATGGACAAAATTAGCAAGGTCGAGTCGGTCGGGTTAACTCGACTAACTTGACAGAAATTGACGAGTTAACTCGGCGTAATCGGACGAGTTAGGCGCTAGGCGGCTGAATTAGGCGCTAGGCGGGCGCCTAGGCGGCTGGTCTCCTAGGCGGGAGCCTAGGGCGGAAATCGCCACGGCCTATAGGCGCCTAGTGCCTAGGCGGGATTTTTACAACCCTGCTTTTCTTTGATGAGGTTCTTCAAATTTCCTTTTTTCTTTTAAAGATGAAGGGGTGGCATCTCTAGTGCCTTTTGTTAATGATATAAAACATTACACGTGCAATAATTATTTTCCATATACCTAAATTGATTATTAATAAACTTAATTAATTAATTAGAATCATTTTTTTGATTTTATATGAGGTACTTGTCGAGCTAAGTACAGTACTTATTGCTTAAACATCAAGAAGTTATGCGTGGCAACAAATAATTCAACAACTAAAACCCAAATTTTGAAGAAAAACTTTTTTTTTTTTTAATGCATGAAAATGTAAAACCAACTACATAAATTATGAATACTCAACCGTCAATGATCATCAAAGGATGAGTCCTAAAAATTTACAAGTAGTCGAAAACTCTCAACACAAAAATGTTCCTCTCACTTTCGAGACATGAACCTCCAACCTTGTGGTTAACAGTCACACGCTCTAACCAACCGAGCTATTCCAGCTACCCATTTATATGGGTCGGTTTATTTAAGGATAGTTTATAAAAGAGTGATTTGAATCAACGAATGGTTATTTGGGTGAATGATAGAGCTTGGATGTATAAATGTTAGTTAACAGAACTTTCGGTAAATTAATCGTGTTTTTGTTCAATATGCATTGTTTATTAAGATAAACAAAGAACAGATTTTAGAGCTCATTTAATAAACGAACAAAAACTGAACATGCTCATTTAAGACACGTCAACATAGACTAATTCTTAGCATGATTTTCAAAAAGGCTAATTATGCTCAAAGAATATTAAAATTAGATATGGCAATTTGGCCCGTCCTCAACAAAGATCCCCGGTCCCTCCCTCGACGGAAACGGAGATGGGAAAAATTTTTGGAAAATGAAGACGTGAACGGGGAATGTACGTAATTCCCTATCGGGGACGGGATACCTCTCCCTCTTCCGTCGCCAAATAATAATTATTATTATTATAATAAAAATTAAAAAAAATAATAAATAAATAATATATTTTTAAAATTTAAAATATTAATTTTTAAAATTTAAAATTACACTAATTTAAAATTTTGACTAAAAGTTGATTGGGAACGTAGAATCCTTGTCCCCGTCAAATTTCTCGCGGAGACAAAATAGGGACTATTTTCAATTTCCCACCAGAGAACAGAGACATGGACGGAGTCAAGGTTTCGGGAACAAAAACGGAGAGAATACTTCCCGTCCTGCTCCGCCCCGTTGCCATCCATATTTAAAATGGTATCATTTTTTACACACATCTAAACGTACTCATAACCTTGTAGTTAACAGCCATACGCTCTAACCAACTAAACTTTTCCAGCTACCCATTAGTATGCATCGTTTTATTCCAGGATAGTTATGACGGAGTGATTTTGGTGAATGATAGAGATTGGATGTATAGATGTTAGTTAACAGAGCTTTCGATAAATTACTCATATTTTTTGTTTAATATGAGTTGCTTATTAAGGTAACAAACGTATATGAAAAAATAACGTAATTACATGCTCACCTAAGGAAGACCAATTATGTTTTACACGCTAGAAGGAGGGTTCAGGTTAACAGCTACATGCTCTAACCAACTGAGTTATTCCAACTACCAAATACTATGAGTCGTTTTATTATATATTCATAAGAACCAATCTCTAGGTCTTATGTTCATGATCAAGTATATTTTAATCAATAATTAAAAAAAAAAAAAATTGTGTAAACCAATATTATTGGCTACAGTATGCAATGATACATGCAACACAAAAGTAATATAAATTATATAGTATAGGTTAAGATAAATATGATCAAAACACTAATCTCGGCCCTTAACAGGTAATCGAGTGGCTAGAACACAATTCTTATATATATTTAAATATCACAAGTTTAATTTTATCACTCAATTGGTTAAACTCGTTGTACATAACCTTCCTGACGCGATTTACCTCTTTTGTGTGTTTTGATGACTATTATTATACATAAGCAAGGTATTAATTATGCACATTCTTGGAGTGTCACTCGAAAAAAAAAAAAAAAAAACACTAATCTCAACTAAAATTTTTAAGTTTTTTTTTTTTTTTTTGTATTAAATTATATTGAATATTTGGAGTATAATTTTATCCGATTAGTTTAATATCGATTGGCAAATTCAATCTCATGCATATACGTCAAACTAATTAACAACACATAATAAATGTAAAAAGCATTCTGGAACTTTTTGTTTTTACCGACCTAATATAGTAATATATCAACTAATATAGTAACATATCTACCAATATAGTATTGAACTTAATTTCTTTTCAAATTTATAATATTCCAAAAAAAAAAAAAAAAAAAAAGCGCCTTCTAATACAAGAATTATATGCTCCTCACACTTGGTCACCCTTTATGACTTATGAGGCATATCATTTTTTTTTTTAAACATCAACTTAAAAAAAAATGTTTGTATCACTTTTTTTTTGTATTAAATTATATTGAATTTGGAGTATAATTTAATCCGATTAATTTAATATCGGTTGGCAAATTCAATCTCATGCATATACGTCAAACTAATTAAAGACACATAATATTTATATTATTATAATTGTGATCTCAAATAATAAATGTAAAAATCATTCTACAATTTTTCATTTTTTACCGACCTAATATATTAATATATCTACCAATATAGTATTGAACTAAATTTCTTTTCAAATTTATAATATTCCAAAAAAAAAAAAAAAGGCTTGCATAATCGATCGATAATATAATTATGGACGGACCCAATTAATTACTACTCATTAAATATAGTATAATTATTAAACTTATTTTACCCCCATTTTGAGCCATTATTCTTATCGTTGTCAAATTAATAAGGAATAAGGTGCAAATAAGCCATCGAATTAGACATGAAAATGCAATTGGACCACTGAACTAAAAAAAAGTTACAATTAAGCCATCGAACAACTTAAAATGATGCAATTCTACCAAATAACAGGTTACTTTGCCATGTCACCGGTTACTTTGCTTACGTGGCATTAATTTAAATTATTTTATTATAAAAACATTAAAAAAAAAAAAAAAAAAAAAAGCCACGCAGACTGCCTTCAACCGGTTCTCCATATCCAGATCCACGGATCCATCTACACTGAAATCACTCACCAGTTGCCAATTTTTCATCTGAAGCTGCTTCTGGCATGTTAATGTCTCGTGTGGTATCGTTAGAAGTAGAATCCATAGACATAGTTACTACCTGCTCTAACAAGGCCTTTTCATCATCCTGAAATGTATCCAAGAAAGCTTGGGTGTTAATGAAACTCAGTAACTCACTTCTGAAAATTGAAACTAGTCCTTTTAGTTTTTGTCCAGTTTTTCTTATAATATATATAGTTATTGAAGGATCCTAACTATTAGATCAGAAGCCTTGCTTTCAGAATTAGATATTCCAGCAGCAACATTTTTTGTCATGCCATCTTGGATAGTTGGCAGGTTTTCTCCTTTTTCTTGTTCTGCAATTTCTTCAGCAGCCATCTTCGCAACTGCTTCTTGTCTTGCTCTTTCTTCTTCCATTAAAACTCGAAGTGCCAGGGCAAGTTCAAGATCCAAGTTGGGATTGACACCAAATTCAAAGCCAAATAATCCACCCAGTCTCCATTGATCTTCATCTCCAGATCCATGGGGAGTTGGGGACGAAGATGCTTCTTCGTCTCCATGGATCTGGAGACCGTCGGTCTCTGTCTTCATCTCCAGATCCATGGAGACGGAGATGCTTCTTCATCTCCATGGATCTGGAGACCGTCGGTCTCCGTTTGGAGGCAGACTTCTCCGGTCGATGGCAGCTTGCGTGGCTGTTTTTTTTTTTTTTTTTAATAAAATAATTTAAATTAGTGCCACGCAAACAAAGTAACTGGTGACATGGCAAAGTAACTTGTTATTTGGCAGAATTGCATTATTTTAAGTGGTTCGATAGCTTAATTGTAACTTTTTTTAGTTCAGTGGCTCAATTGCATTTTCATGTCTAGTTCGATGGCTTATTTGCACCTTATTCCAATTAATAATGAATTATTATACCTAAATTAAAGATATGTCCGTGAGAGTATTTTCAAGAATGACGTCGTGAGTGACGCTTTAATTTCTTTAGCCTAATAAAACCGTTCTTTCAACTTCAACAACCTTTGGATGGTTCAATTCTAATGTCCCAATCCTTATACTAGTTACCCCACACATACACTGCGCAAACAATCAAATGTTCAACATATATTTTTAAATTAATGTTCTATAATTTATTAATGTATCATTTGATATCTTGTCGTATATCAATGTAAGACTATCAAATTTTTTATAAAAATAAATATTTCAATAATGTATAACTATGATTGTGGTATAATTTTTTCATAAAAGTAATTGGTCCAATTGCAGTTTTAGAGAATAAACACCCTCACTGGATAGTATCCAAGTATGATTTTTGTAACACAAAATTATATTAATTGGTGTGATCATGCTTCCTCTTGTTGCCATTTCCGCCATAATGAATTATTAATTTAATCTAGTCCCCTAGTGTGCTACAGTGCAATTTTAGTGTCATGATGCATTGGATCTTCAAAACACATAACCAAATCCTCTTTTCCCAAAAAAGACAATGATAATAAGCACTGTTTCTCATTTGTGTTGAATATATAATGTAAATTAGGTGTACCATTTAATCAATGCCCAATGCGTAATTCTAATTAAATGACTAAAGTTCATATTAAATACAAATTCATAATATATATTTAGAGTTAATTCCACTAGAAGTCCATTGTCTATGTTTGCAATTCCGAATTTAATCCCAGACTATTGTTTTTGCCACTTAACATCCCAGACTATTAGTTTTTGGACATTTTTAGTCATTCTCATGATTTTTCCTATTTCAAGTAAGGGCATTTTTGTCTATTCATGTTTTTCTTTTGTTATTTTTCAATATTTCAGCCGGTTTAAGTGGTTTAAGTCTTTACTAAAAATCGATTGAAAAATATGGATACTAAAAATCGGGGGTTATCTAAAATTCTAAACCGAAAAAAAAAATATGAAAAGACAAAACTGTCATTACTAAAAAAAAAAAAAAATCATAAGAACGACTAAAAGTGTCCAAAAACTAATAATATTACCATCTCAAATAATATATATAAAAATCATTCT